GCTCAGTCTCCCAGAGTCAGCAAATTGGTCTGTTCCTGGTTCAAAATACAGAATCTCTGCCTCACTGTGATAAGACTAGAACAGAAGGAACAGCAACTCTTTTTTCCCCAGAACATTGGAAGGCGATGGAAGAGCAGAAAATTTACCTGTTCAGGCACTCTGTCCCCTCACTACTGATACTGAGAATGAAAAAAAAAATAATAGGATTGTACTTGCTATTCTAAAGAAAGAGCACTCTAATCCAAAGTTATTTCCCCTTTTTTAACTGAAAATGAAATGATAACCTAAACCAATCGAACATGTTCTAATAACTAAAGCTGTTGACTTCAGTGATGTCTTCTAGGATCACCCAACTCCTTACAAATCAGAAATAAAAACAGTATATGTTGCAAAAGAACTGAGAAAAAGTAAGGTTTCAGCCTACTGCCACAGAGGGAGTAAGAAGCAAAATGACCATTTTTCAGCTATTCTAACAATTCCAACAGCAATCAGTTTTGTGTCTCTCCTTAAAAATTGTTCACTGAGAGTCATGGAATCATAGAATGGTTTGGGTTGGAAGGGACCTTCAAAGGTCATCTAGTCCAACCCCCCAGCAATGAGCAAGGACATCTAGATTAGGTTGCTCACAACCACATCTAGCCTGGCCTTGAACATCTCCACAAATTTCTTTGCAGGAGTTGCGTTTTGACTTGAAAGGGCATGATTAAAAGTTAGCTAAGGTGGCAAGTATGGCGTAAAGTTTGTTCTTTGTTAACATTGAATGCTTTTACTTTGGTTGATGATTTAACAGATAGAAATTCCTTAAAACTCATCCTAAAGTTCCTAGGCAATTTAAACTAAACATATTATATGAAACAGAGTAGATAGAAGAAACCCACGGGGTTCTGCATGCTCTTGCTATTTTCCACCCCTTGTGCAGTTCTGAGGACATGTTTACATAGAACTTTACATATCTTTATGGCCACTACTTCGTTGCATAACACAGCACTGCTGGAACATTGGCTGAAGCTTTGTCAGATGAAGAAAAGGCAGACCATTTTATAGCTATTGCACACACACACACAAAAATGTCAGAGAAAGCTTTGATGCCTGCCTGGAATAACACAAAACCATTTGTAAATAAAATCCTACTAGAAACATCAGATCCTGGGGATTACCCACAACTGCTTAGCATTTTTATTGAAATACAAGCCAGTACCAAGTTCAATCAAAACTATTCAAGAATATCACTTCTACTGAGATACAAACACAGGAAATAACACAAAACCTGTCAGGAGAGCAAGAAACTGCTTTTTTCAATTTTGGTTATATTTTTTGGCAAGTGACATGTAAGACTTCCTATACCAAGTTATCTCTCCCTTCATTCTCTTTTTGCCAAATGCTCTCCCTTAAATAAGCTGAAAAAAAGGAATGAAGTTAAAACAACATTCGAAGCACTATTCCTCTTTACTTTCCACCTTCCAACATATTCTGTGACCCATGACCATACATTTCCTTGCATTTCAGTGTAGTGATTTGTATGGAACTATTCAAAATACTTTTTAAATGCTTAAGATAGAAAATGATGTGTAAAAACTGAAACATTAATTCTGAGCTTCCTTTTTGAAACACAGGCATGTGTTTCCATTATGTCTGATCTTACAGAAGAGTTATGTTCTTTATATGTGGTTGCAAATTGACACCAACACCCCCAGACACCTCAGTTTTAGCCTTGAGATTTTATATTCTCTTAACTAATTCATCTATATCATATAGACCATACATATGAAGCATACAGTATTTGTTGTACTGAAGAATTCCTTTGTCAAAGCCAGTATTCTTTGTCTCTCTTACCTACCATCTAAGAGATTTCTCAGATTTCTAAGGTCCAAGTATCTCATTTGACATTGGCCAATACTCAATGTAAATGTAAAACAAAAAACAGAAATATAAAACCTTAAAGAGCCACTTACATCTGCATCTTCTGCATTACAAAAAAAAAACAAAGGGGAAAAAAACCCAGCTTGAAGTGTGGTGGTTCCTACCACAACAACATTGGATTTTTACAACCAGTTTGTGTAAAAGCTTTCTCATTGGAAAAAATTTTCCTGTTGCTATCACTCATTCTCCTGTAGTTAGTTCACTGATAGCATTGGAGCTATTTAATACATAAATATATAAATAATAAATATTCTTTATTACTTAAGGTAAACAAAGGTGTCAGAAGCAGGTTCATAGATAAAAACATGTGAAATGAGAAAAAAAAATCAAGAAGGCTTACATGGAAATAGATAAGGAGTCGAACAGTGTGGAAGATAAAACGATACTCACGGCACTCTGAAAACAGCACACGGGATGAAAAGTGTCTCAGTGGGAACTTTTAAAGTGTGTGAATGCCAACAGTTAAAGCAAAGACTTTGGCTGACTGTTTTGAAGATTATTTCCAATCACACTGAGTGTGGCTACTGATTGTAACCCCACAGCACTATACAGAAGATCCTTCAATTGTCTTTCTGCCATGCACTCGTTTGCAATCAAATATCAGGTCTCTCATATCCTGAAAGAGTATCTAATTTAATAGTAAAAACTCAGTGTCTTAGACATTGATATACTAACAACGTTTTTATTTATAGTTTGCACTACTGTATTGTTTTGTCATAATGTTTGTCATAGTGTATTGTTAACCGTGTTGAGTTGCAGGGGCATTTTTTTAATACTTTCTTAGCAAACAGATAAATATGTAACATACCTCAAAACTGACAGGTATATTGCGCTTCAAAGCAATTTCAAACACTACACTGATCTCAGACTTGTTCGCATCCTTATCTTCTTCTGATTCTTTTCCTGTTTCTCCATTCTGAAAATGAAGAATACATTATCATATCACAATTTTTAGAAGATGGAAAAATACAATATGCTTCTCCCCCAACTTCTCAAAGACTTCTGAGAACTCCTGTCATGATGTATATCAGCCTTTTGTACATCCATCTCAGCACCCCATTATCAGACACTCACTGACTGTGAAGCCATACATAATGCATTTATGCTTCATAATAAAGAAACAAAATTAACTGATAAATTAATGATAGGTGGCAAAGTACCTTCTGTGGGTTTTAGTCTTATTAATGACATAGATAATAACCATGTGACACACACTTCTTCGGTCAAACATGAGAATCAAACAGCCTCTCTATGGATAATTCTTCCAAGCCAGGAAGCAGTACAGAAGACTGTACTTCTCTCAGAAGAAATTCAGCGAATCACCCCCATGCTTTTACTAGGTCACCAGGTTACAGGTGTCCTCAGCAGGTCCAGCTGGTTAATGGCCCCTCTATCGACTTCCCTGTGGGAGTTATGACCAGTGTGAAAAGGTAGTGACAGAGAACAGCTTGCTCAACACAGAACATTATTTATTTATCCATAGGAACATAACAAACAGAGAGGCTAAGAAATAAAACAACAAAAGGCACATGCAAACATTATCCTGCCTGTAATTCAGCTTTACACTTTAGGTAAGTCTTATTTTTCTCAGACATACACTAGCATGGGGATCAGTGAAAGAGTTACTGCCTTCTGCAACCACTGCCTTTAGGTGTTTGTTCCCCAGGCCACATCTTCCTTAGTTCTCAGAGGTTTCACTTTCAGCTACTTTCAAACTGCAAAGCTCTGAATGTTTCAAACTGAGATCTCTCAACACCCATGTAACCTTGGCCAGGCTCCTAATTTTTTATTAGGGGAGGTAAACATCAAAGAAACTTGGGCTGAATTAGGTGGATTCCTGCAGAGTTCCCATCTTACATAACGAAGTCTGATCTAAATCTTCAGCTCCCAGCATAGCTACACAATGCAGATACCAAAGTTATAAAATAACATTTAAAAAGCACTGGATTCTTCACATTAACAATGGGATTTATCAATCTACCATTAGTTAACTCTTACTGTATTAATCTGTAAGATAATGCAGATGCAGAAATCCAGCAGTCAGCTACAGCATGCAGACTGGGAGCACTTTTTGTCTTCTTAAATGACTGCAAAATTCTGAGTCTGAAAGAGCAATTTACATCCCTGACATTGATCTGGAGCTATATACAAAACTAAAAACCCAGGACATACCTGCTGAAAAAAAGGGTACAGTGTAAAGCAGTAACAAGGGTAGTTAGAACGAAATTATGTAGGACCTCTAGCTCATTTCATATAATGAAATGTAAAGTACCACTGAAATCAAGAATGTAGGTCATTATTTACAGGACAGGCAAAGCATTGAATAGGTTCACTGAGAAAGATGATCTGAACAGAGTTAAAAGGACAATACTTAAAAGTAAAAATATTTTGGGGGAATATAAAGAGTATCAAATGTAAAGAGTGGGCTACTACTATTCTGTAAGAACCTAAGTGAGAACCTTGCTCAGTATTGTATTCAGTTAAGTTTGTGTTTTATAAAGGACACTGATAAGCTGGAAAGCTGACAAAAAAAGCCACAAGGATGAACTAATGCTAAAAACCCCCAACTTAACACTGACACAATATGGAAATAATCTGTTCTATAAAAAGCTTCAAAATTACTCAAGCAAAATTTGTAAGTGTATATGGGTGAGATATTATTGATGTCTGCTTGTTACAACCAGCAAAGATAAGAAAATACCAAATAGACAGAAAATGAAGCTAAGTGAATTTAGAAGAAATACCTTGCAAATTTTCTTTGAAATGGGGAATATTCAATTGCTGGCATAATTTACATAAACTAATACAAAGCCCACTGGACTGCCACCAAGACTTTAAATCAACAGTGTTTAGGCTTTCTAGCTATACTCTAGCTTAACCAGATATGTAGAGTCTAATGTAGAAGTTATGAAGTTTAAAATTTCATGGTTAATATACATTGGCCCACAAAATCTCTTTTTATCCCTTCTGCCCTTAAATTTATACCATAATTTTGCATATTTTTCCACCAAACACAGCAGAGAGCTTAACTATGAGTGGAGAATAGGGAGGACCATAGACTTTAAGGTTTAGACTTTAGCAGTGAGCAATAATATTTCAAGCCTTAGTCATGTGACTTCCCCAAGGAAGACGAAATATGTTCAGGAGTGTCTCAAGTATTCTGGATTTAAATTTGATCCTCATTCCACAACTGACACTTTAATTGTAAGGCCTTTCTCAGCCTTACATCTATGAGACAGCAGAGGTGCTTTGGCATGCGCACAATACCTCTTTTATGAAAGCAGGTTCACATTCACCTGTAACCCTGCCCTGTTTGCTGACTGCTTCTTGCTTCTGCTCACCTTATGCTCTTCTACACGCTTGTGCAATGAAGTATTAGGATGGCAACACTCCTTTTCAGTGGTTTAATATGGATGAAATGTTTTATCCTTAACTAAGTTTTTTAAAAAAGGAGGGAAAAGGTTATCTCAAATTGAAAGAATACATAGAAGGCTGTATTTTAAGCAAAAAGCATAGTTACGAAGGCCAAAAAGTAAATCCATATATTTACTGTGTTATATTCCATGGATCCCATTCCAGTGAAATTTACGGAGTTACTAATGGGAAAAAGGTCCAGATTGGTACCAGCAGGTTTGTCCTTGCTCTGCTCTCTGCTCCCCTTGGAAGCACACTGGCAGTGACTGGGGAAGAAATAAGCTCGATCTAGTCATGTAATTGAGACCAGTCAGACTCTAATGCGTACTGGCCCTGATCCATGCATGATGTTTGAGGAACACCAAATCAATCATCTTCCATGGCTGACCCAAGCAGGTCAACCCTGCTTCAGGAAGCAGAGTGTTACTGAGCTCGCCCATGTCCCATGATGAGGGCATATCCCACCACTGTGTAGCAGCCCTGAGCGCACTTCACATGACCAGCAGCAGCGAGGAGGCTGAACCTTGGAACCAGGTAACACTTAAACTCTACTTTAACCAATCTCTAGTCCACTGGAGAGCTACATGCAGCTCCACTTGTTGCAGCTCTTTGTACTCTACCATGACTTAGGCATAGTGTTGCTTCCAGCCTTCTCCACTCACCTACAACTCTAACCCATGAAGTAACAGAGCAGTTTTTTCATTATTAGCTCCCTCTACTCTCAGCATAACCAAGCCACGGAGGTTTTCCTGACTGAGGAGTTGATTTACTCTCCTACTTAGACAACTGCTACTGAGATCCTACCGTATCCCAAGTGGTCTTCAACTGTTGTACCAGAAACTCAAAGTGCTCCCACAGGTCTTGAAAGTACAATGTGAATGTCTCAGCTAATCTACAGTATCGTCTCCTGACAAGTCTACCCTATTTTTCTCATAGCTAACTGTGGATTTGATTCAGTTTACGTACACGACTTATGGTGCTGAAGAATGAAGTTACCTCATTAACTCATGACAGAGGCGACACTACAGCACGCTACAAGAATTTAGGAAACTCAATGTGCCGTGACTGCATCTTCTAAAGGCTTGCACATCCTAACAGACATTGATGTAAACAGGCACTATATAGACACAATTAGGTAAGAATGTTAATTAAAGATTTTATTACTTTTGCTAGGTAAACTGCATATAGATATGGGCTGTGAAAATTCACTATATAAAGCAGGCCCATATTGATGTCACTTATCTATATTATTTACTTCTGTCTACTACTTATCATTCTAAGCACTTAGTGGTTTCATTTCCATTCTGATTAATGAGTATCTTGAATTTAAAGATTCTTTTGACAAAATATAATATTAATCATATAATTTTTAAGAACTAAGAATACGCTGGGTTAAAAATCTGTTTCAATAATATGAAATTCCTACCCAGGTTTGTGCTATGGGTTCATTATCAACCAATACTTTTGACTAGAAACCAGAAGAGAAATGAAGGGAATTAACAATGAGAAATGAAACAGGGATTCCTCCTAAGAATTTACATAGTCTTTTTTAATAGTTTTCCTGTTTTAAAATAGAATCAATATTAATTCTAGTAAATGATTTCGAAGAGAATTTCCCGATCCTGAAAAATAATACAGCAAAACATAAGGGTGAGTCAAACTCTCTTTGGATCAAAAGGAGGATGTAGATGAAGGGTGAGGCAGAAAGAACAAAGATTTTTTTCATTATAGAAAATTATTTCCATTCTTAAAACACAGCTCAAAACTACCACACCAGACACTGAAGGCACTATTAGTAATGTTTTGTGCTGTGCACAGGTGTTCGACAGGCATCATCAGAAAGAGAGTACAAAATAAAAAGATTGTCTCCTTATGCATTCATTTTGGCCTATCTGACTGGGCAATTTTATTATATTTGCCCTTTCAATTTGCAAAGATTATTCTGACAATAATTTTTCTGTTATATATTTTTTAAAGTATGATACGGTATTTTCATTTTTAAGCAGCAGTATACACCACTTACAACACAGCAGTGAGAAAGCTAGCTATTTAAAAAGGTACTGTGGCTAAAAGCCTAAACCTGTCAGAGAGGTGACCCGTAGCAGTCAGTGAGCTCAGTCAGTTTCTTGGGTACACTGGGCACAAGTCATTTCAACTGTAAAGATGGTCCAACACATACTTAATAACTAATTCTCCATGAAGCCACTGATTAAATAGACATTTTCTCCACTTTCAGTAGAATCTCAAAAATTTTATTTAATTTTTATTTTTTACTTAGCCACTGCTGACAATCCCACCTTTAAAATCCCTACTCATTTCTGTTACTTAAGTCCAGATAGCACATTTTAGATGTGCTGTTATGACGAAAAAACAGTAACAATTTGTCAGTATGACTTTTCTAATTACTGAGGCTAATAAGAAAAGAACCCACTAAAAATTAAACATTTAAAAAAAGGCAATTAGATTGTTTGATTTGGTGTTTTAACATGAAGATTAGGACGCAAACCTGAGGTAATTTTTCTGGAATAGGCTCATTCTGGAGAGCTTGAAGCGCCTTCATTGCAGCATTATGTCTAGCAGCTTGACGAGTCTTCCCTTCACCAAAAAACTCACTGTTGCCAACAGTTAACTGGACATAGAAAATTTTAGGCACTGGGCAGTGATACCTAGAAAGGAGTAATGAAAAGAAAACAATACAAGTTACAAACTTTAACCATCAATTTTATGTAATACAGAGCAGTGGTTAGGTATAAAACATCATCTTTTCTCACAGAGTAAGACCCAACACTGAAATAAATGGACTGTTCCTCAGCAGGGCCATCAGTAACTCCGACAGCATCTCCTATGTGACAACCAGCTCTTCAACCACATTTGCAGGACTCTGCAATGAGCTCTACTATACTTCAACCCAACTGCATAGCTCTGCTCTCTTCTTGGTTTGAGTCTTGAGAAGATTAAACCTAAGGAGAACTGAAAGTTCCAGTGGAAGCCACACCTGGGAGAAAACTCCTGTCCCACAGGAAAGGCACGGAGGAAGAAGCATTGCAAGGTGTCTCATTTGAAACCTGTTGGCGTAGTTCAGCTCACCCGCACTGTTTTCCTTTTTTCTTTCCTCCTCCTATAGAAAAATTTCCAAATGTAATAGCAGGGGTAGTTTCTCTGACTATGTCTGAAAGGCACCGAAAGAAAGATAAAGCAAAAAGACCCCATTTTCCTATGAACTAGCACAAACACTATTCCTTGAAGAAAACGGTATCTTTATTCATATCACCAATTCCTCACCTCTGTTTTCAGTAATAATAACAGCTAACCCATCCCATACTACCTGCGCTGAAACCTGTCTCTTACTAGCATCGAATGGAGATGTAATGCTATTCTTGGGTTTGGAAGGTCCTGTCACAGCACTCTGACAACTACAAACATAAAAGCTTGTCCACATATGCAAAATCTACAGAAAAGAAGTATTCCACCACCAGCCCCAGACTCAGAAAAAGCAGTTCAGCAGAGATAATTAGTTCTAATCACTGTTAAAATTACAATCTTTTAAGAGAATATTTCCAAAAAGTCCTCTAGTTATATTCTATATAGGTGAGAGAATCTGCTTCATACTCTTTTCTCTGTAGTCTAGTCTGCCTGTGCTCCTTCCTCAAACAAAGGCTTTTCTTAAACACTGGAGATGTAATCCTTTGAAAAATATATACCTCTCAGAAACGGTATTCCATTTATGGCAAATAACTTGTACATATTTTACGGCAATGTAAAAAAGCCCAGGATTCCAAAAGTGTGGGCAAAAGCTAGGTCCTCTGCAACAAAAATAGAATCATATGAAGACAGAACAAAGTATTACATTTTCCTTCTTCCTCTTAAAGGATCCTTATTAAAACTTGTTCTCTCCATTTTCATCTGCTGACAAGGATGGTGATTTTTTTTTTTGTATGAAGACTTTCTGACTTTCCATTAATAACTGTAATTGATTTGTTTCAACTACCAGACAAAAAAGTTTTCAGATAGCAGCACACTTCAAACCCAAGCACTCCAGTCTCACTGTCACTGAACTTTGTCCCTAATTCTAAAAATATGATTATTTGGAAAGGGCAAAACTGTAACACTGGCTCCAACAAGCCTCTGGCTATAGGGCCTTGGAGGGGTGAGCTAAGTTGCCTTTACGACATGCAAAAAGTGGGTATTTGCTTTCCTGTTTACAGTTTAACACAGTTACAGGGAATCATTAAGACCTGGAAATGCATTTGTTTATGTAACATTTTCATAAAATTATGGAATAACTCAGGTTGGAGAGGCTCCTGGAGATTATCTGGTCCAACACAGCACCCAAAGCAGAGTCAAGCTCTGAAGCTACACTTGTCTTGTTCAGGCATTGTCCAGGGTAATGTCAATATCCCAAAGGATAAAGATTCCACAACATCTCTGGGCAACCCATTCCAGTGTTTGACCACTCTTTCTGGAAGAACATTACAAAGGTCCTACATGCATAATGAAATTCAAACACCATGGTGCCATTCATTAACAAAGCAGCTGTCAAACCAAAGAAAGAGCAACATTAATTTCTATCCCACTCCACCATGTCCTTCATCGCTTCTGATATACAGCATTCACCTTCTGCCTCCCTCTGCTTCTAAAAGGTACGAACACAATACCAAGACACTATCAATGTGGCAAAATCTACAACAAAAAGTGGCTTGACACTGTGATTTACTTCAAAAAGAATGCAATTTTTTTTCAGGTAAAAGGCAGAATTTCACCCTTTCCCTTCACTTAGGGAGCGTACATAAAATGCTTCCTATATCAACATTTTCCTTTGGTTTATTAGTTTTATTTGGTTTGTAATATTGTTTTAGGGAATATTAAAAATATATTTAGGGAATATGCAGGCAGTAGATGTAAATAATACCTTGAAAGAATTTAAATCTAAGAATCAGGAACAGGCCTTTGACAACAAACACAGGTCAACCTATATTTCCAAAGCAAAAAATATTACACTTATTTAAAATAAAGGGAAAAAATAATGAGAAGCTTCATCACTGTGTAAATTGTTGTAACTGCTGGCTGTCTGTGGGAGCAGTGTTCTAGGCCCTGCACTTATATGTGGTTCTCCCCAGTACCTGCTGAAAGGAAGATTGATCCTCTCTGAAACAAAAGCTCAGTGCAACTTTTGATCAGGAGTAGCTGATAGAGCTTGTTGGCTGCTGCTACACCTTTCTAGAAGCCACAGCCTCCTGCAGTTATCCTTTCCCGGCAGCAACAGGCACCCTCAAGTTCTTCAAAGAGTTCTCAGGACCCTTCCCACCATCCCAGAAGTTCTCAGAAGATCTAGAGCTACAGCCTGGAAACTGCTGCCTCTGTTAGCTGCAGCTTAGCACAGAATAAGCTCTGTCATGCAAAAGCAGTAGGCACCTTGATAGCACATCACACCTCATTACTTCACAATCCTCTTTAAATAAAAAAAAAGCAGCAGTGCTCTTAGCAACTACCTAGGTTTAGGGTAAATACAACACCTATCAGAAGTTCTTGTTTCTTACTGAGTTACTAGACCTACCTTTCTCCCCATTACATGCAAAGGAGGAAAGCACATGAACCTTAATTCACTTCATAAACTCAGATTCTACAACAGGCCCTCTCTTTTTGCCTCCCTCCTCCCCACCTTTTCTTTTAAAGAGTGTTTAGGGAGCTATTTATGTGATAATATGGAAAAATGATATTCAGCCTGTGGCTCTAGAGCCTCATGCAGCTCTTTGGCATTGGCAGAATGATTAGGCTTTTACATGGTTTTGATTAAACTTTTCTTGCTCTGCTTGGCCTCAAGCAGAGTTAGCAGAGCACTGATAATATGAACATTGCCAGGAAAGAGCAAAGGAGCACCTGAAATGCTCAGAAAATGAACTAAATCTGTGAGGATACTGGCCTCTCTACAACAGGGAGCATGTCAAATAGAAACAGAACATCCTCCTCTTTGCAGTGCTGAGGACAGAGTTGGTATTAACAAAACCCTTAAAAGTGATAATATTATTACAGTCTGAAAGCACAGTGTTATGATTAAACTGAGCTTTAATACAGCATGATTCTGCATCCTGAAGATGGACACTCATGTAAGGAACAACTCCACGCAAATTTAAGATTATCTATCTGCCACCGATCATTAATAAACCTTCCCAATATATTACATTTGAGTTACTAAAAAGGACTGAAAACATTAACAATCTTGGAAATATTTACATAGAATTTGCTGTTATTATGCAAAAAAATATTAGCACAACATCTTCCATCACAAGAACTCCTACACATCAGTCCTGTGCTCCTTTACCCCTCTGACACTTGTTCAGTCACAGAACTGAAACAGTCAGGATTTCCAACAGCAACACTTCTCAGACAGACTCATTAGGTTTCTGTAAGTTTTAAAACTACCTACATTTAAAGAATACACATCTCTCTGCATTCTACATGGCAGCTACAAAGGCTAAAATTTTCCTTTAGATAAAATTCCTATGTAAAAATTATTCCCAAGTGATACTGACACACTCCTCAGGACATACAGCCAGACACAGCCAAATGACAGATTACAAGACCAGAAGACAACAAAAGGACATATGAAATGATACATTCAATTGGAATGGAAAAAAAAAAGTGATAAAGGATAATACTGTAACAACCAGTCACATATAACCTATTAAACCAAGTTAATTTCTATCTGGCTCTTCTGGACAGTTGCTAGTCTTAAGAAGATCCCTCGGAAAGAGGTCTGGAACACAGGTTCTCTTTATTCCCTCAAAGTTTCATAGCATCAGAAATCTACTTTTTAGCTAATGTTGTTGGGTATCACTTTAGAATAGTCAACCTGAAAAAGGATATTTGCTCTATGACTGTGACCTGGAATGCCAAGTTTCAGCAATGAGCAAATATTTACAACTAGTTATAAACCACTAAAAATAGAGGTTCATAACAGAAATGCTGACAGACCTTAACTAAGTTGGTGTGAGCGGGCGCCACTATAATTAAATAAATCACCAAGGTCTGTTGACAATTAGAAAACTCATTTTGGTTTGCCACAGAGACAAACAAAAATTCTGTTCATTATAATTTTACTGGAATATGATGTCATAACATGTAAGCATACTGAAACAATCTGCTGCTTTTCTAGCCAAAATATTAATTGCATACTAAGGAGCCCTTGGGGCCTCTTCCTTTTTGGCCATCAAATCTGCACACACAAAGACAAATAAAGTGTGTACGTTATGTGTTCATACTGCATTTCCTGCATTTCTCTGGATTCCTCAATGGCACAAATGTTTCGATAAATATTGTTACTTTATGCTTAGCAGGGAAAAAAAACAAACAAGTGCAAGCTGCAGCTCACAGGAACCAGGAGATTTATTTAGATTTAGCCTCCTTTTCACTGTTAAAAACTCCAGTGAGGTTTTGTCTAAATTCTAATGGCCAATGTATTCTTCACCTATGTAAAAAAGAACAAATAAACTCAATTACTTTCCCACTACACAAGTGTTCTAGGAAGTATTACCACATTCCCATTTCATAATGTGAAGTGAAGAGGAATAGAGACCATTCTGACTATGATGAGGGCTGCTAAAACACAAGATACAACATGGCATGGGAAAATCATTCTTCAGATGCCAGCTCTGTGCTGCAAGCATCATT